TTTGCCATCTGTTAGAAGACCAGACATTACGCGAAATGGCTATTTCACATCTCTGCACCCTGTTTTTAGCTAAAAGTTAAAAACCTTGTGTCAGGTGTGGAAATAGCTGACTGAGTGAGGTATTGGAGGTCCCTGGCAAGAAACTCAAGACGACTAGATTTTGTTTTACAGAATCTGAATGAGATATGTACATTTAACAACAGTGACTACAGAACTAATGAAACAAAATCTTTTGACCATTTTGACTGTTTCTTGCCTAGTTTGTTGTGCGTTTTAAAACTTAATATATAATTATCTAGCAAACTAGTGCACATTTCAATGAAGTTTAAGTTTGTTTTTGCTTTTAAACTGAACAATATACTACTAGACCCTTAGCATCTTAGTAAAGCTTCTAGTTTCTCCTTAACTGGAGAAAGTGTGCCTTATGGGTGATGATACACCATACTATCTGCCCCCCCCCCTTTTTTTTTTAATCCTACATCCACCCATGCTGATGAGCAGTACATTTAAGAAATGTGATATGGTTTTATTTTTCTAATGCATCGCTGTCACTTCTCTGGTCCCTCACTAATCTATTGTCTACTCTATGCCATGGCTAAAACGATAACAGAAAATTTGTATTTAAAAAAAAAAAGTCTTTTGTTTGTATGTGTTAGCTGGAAAAATGGATGGCTGTAATGTAAATCAGACAATGGTAGAAGTAGGAATGTGGCTCAAAAACCTCCATAAAAACAAAACACAAAGACTTCTTGCCAAGTTGTCTGGGGAAAATATTTAGAAGGCTTTCGATCATATTCCACATTCACCATGATAGTAGATGCAAGTGTATCTGGAACAATCTGCTATTGAATGTATAGAGGCAGAGGAGAGACGTACACATATCAGTGAATCCTGATATGTCTGGTAATTTACCTTTTGGGGCAGGGACAAACTGTACAGAGTAAGAGACAAGAGCCAGGGATCCCTAACCTTTCTGGGTCCCAGAGGATGTAACAGTATCCCTGTGGTATGCATTTGTTTCAGTAGAAGACTTTGACTTGTGGCACCAAGTGTATGTGTTCCACAAAGACCAATTCTAGTACAGCAGGTAAACCTAACAGAGCAGGACTGGGATCAGGATTGCTCCAGTTTGGTCTAAACTCTGCTACTGATTTCCCATGTGGCTCAAGGCAAGGCATTTTACTACTCTACAACCCCCTTTATCCCGTGGATAATGCTGGCATATGTTAGGTGGCATTGGAAATATTAATCTTCACAAAATGTCTTGAGATAAGATAGTGCAAACTTGGTGTGTCTAGTGAAAACATTCAGTTCAAAGCTGCTAATCAGCCTATTGCTTGATTATAGTGTTGGTAAGGGCTGCGATTGTGTGAAATCATAGGAGAGCTACCTCTTTTAGAGTATAAAGAGGGCTGCCAATTTAGCAGCAGTGTAGCACTCTTGACAAATTACACCATTTGGCATTGATTGTGGCTGTGCTGTTTGCCAAGAGGACCCCATCTTTCTTCTGTCATTGTGGATACATGGAACTCATGTTTTCCTGCTTAGTGGCTTTATATAGCAAAATAATTGCCTTAGCAGAAATTTAAAGCTTGGAAGAGGTGGGAGAGGCAAATGAAAGGCTCCTGTTAACTCATTAATAACATCTAAAGCAGGCTGCAGAAGCAAAGTAGTACAAGTAGAACAAAGTACTGAAGTCTGTATACCAGCATTCTTGCAGCAAGCCAGGTCATGGGTACAATACAGTAACCCACCACAATGAAAGAGTCTGATCCTTTTGTCTGGCATTGAGCATTCTGATCTGATATTTCTTGTGCTTATATAAAGCCAAAAATAACCATTGGAAAACCAACATTTGGAAGAGTTAATTTTTTTGATTAACAAGATAATTTTAAAGAACACCTTGGTTTACTACTTTCCCCAGAAGTCCTCAAGAGATATTGGTGGGGGGGGGGCGGGCAGGCAGGGCATTAATTTACTTTTGGAGACTTTGAAGAGGAAGAATGATAAGACTAAGTTGTAAGTTTGCTTATTTTTCTACTTCCTCTAGGGAAAG